AACTGAGCTCTAACTGAAATGATAATGGTTTTTCAAGCAGATTACTGATTAAAAATATCAACGAGAGGACAAACAGATTGCTATTTGATTTTAACACCCAGTTCTTAGACACAGATTGAGCTGGTCCTCATTGGCCCTTTTGTCCTAATGTTATTACTATGTAGTTATTAATAACCTCATATTTAATATTTGAATTAACAAGATTTAAATTCAAAATGCCTTGCTTATATATTTTTTTGATTTATCCTAGGAATCCTTGCTCCAGATCTGCAGAAAATGGAGGTATATTTGTTCTTAAACAACTTACTTAAAGAATACTTAATTTTACTTTGCCATTATTTATCTCTGTCTCTCCTCCCTGGGTGCTGCTGTTAAAATTAATTTGCATTTAGACCTCAGGATTTTATATTGCCATTAGAATTGTGAAATGTTTTTACTCAGCACAACTAAGAACTGATGTTTTACCTCCCACTAATGGACCTTTAATTAGGCACTGTAATGAACCATTCTGTCATTTTTTCATTTATGTAGAGAAGATTTTGTATATGTAAGATACAATTTTGACAGAATACCAGGTCCGCTGAACCTTGCCGACTCACATATAATAGATCCTAAATTTATTATGTTTTTGTCAGCTGTTGGGTTTATCACTTTAATGACACTGTCCACAGACTTATTTTGCTGCCAAAGACCAGCATCACCCATACTGCAGGGCTGTTGTTGACATCTTGATCAACAACTCCTGGGGTCCAATTCTGACTACAATATTACTACTTCGGGACCTTGAGCAAGTTATTTAACCTCTGTCTAAGGATTAATTGGTTAATTTTAATAAGTGCTTTGCAGTAAAAGGTGGGAAGTGCTATGACTGCTAATAGTGATAATAAAATGATAATGCAGCCTTTTTATAATGCATCAGGCTACCTCAGACTGTGATTCCATTAAGTTGCCAATTAAAATATCTGCTAACTGAATTTATTCTTTTTAAGAAACCAAATTGCTATAATGATGGCCACATAGTAATTTTTTAACTTAGATCAAAAAGAATAAAACATGGTAATGCTTCTTAAAAATTTTTTTAATTAAAAAAAATCAACATCCTATGATGGTGGACCAATTGGGAACAGAGAAAAGCTGTACAGAAAAATACCAGATGGTTGTACCCTGATTAAATGTAACTCTTATACATTAAGTTGATTGTTCTTTTATTAACTCATCTCCAAACTGCTTAAATTTATTTATCTATGATTACTTATTTATTCAACAAATGTCATTGTTAGGTGTAATTCAATTTCAAAGAGGTCATCTTAGACAAATAGGAGTAATGAACACAATTAACAATAATACCAGATAAAAGTGAATAGAAACAGACAAAGGTAAAGAAGCAGCAACTTTAAAATTCAGAAGAGAAACAGATTCATTCAAACTTGTTCACATCAAGGGCAGATGTGAACAACTTCAAAAAGGAAATGCCCTTTAAACTGGAAGGGGATAGATAGATAGGATTTTGCATGGAGAGATGAAGGTGAGGAAGAATCCAAAGAAAGTGCATTTCAGAGGAAGAGAATAGCAGGAGAAAGTCACAATGCCAGGGAAACGGACATGTGGAGAAGCATGATAAGTGTGGTTTTACTAGAATAAAGGGGAGGCAGCAAAAATAGTCTGGATAGTAATGAGGGTTTGCATTATGTGGAGTAGTAGTTGGTGATGTCCCCAGTTTGCGTGGAAACCTTTCAGTATTGTAAGAATATGGAAACTGAAAAAAAAAAAAAACCATGGGTCAGCAAGTAGAAGTTGTGCTGGAATATTCAGCTAGGTTGAAAGGAACAAGAAGGAGGGGAGAGCGATGTGTGAGTGTGTATACCTGCATAGGACTGGACTGTTTTTGCCGGATAAACTCTGCTGGCTTGTGACACATCTCATTTCAGAGATAAGTTAGGTAAGAATTGAGAAAAGAGCATTGGCTGAAGGTAGTGGCATCTATATATGTCAAGAGACTGGTCTACACAAGCAGAATATACACCTAAAGGTACCTGGGTGGCTGAGTCGGTTAAACATCTAACTCTTGATTTTGGCTCAGGTAATGAGCTCACGGATCATGAGTTTCAGCTCATGCTGACAACGAGGAGCCTGTTTGGGATTCTCTATTCCACTCTGTCTGCTTCTCCCATTCCCCACGTCTCAAACTAAATAAATAAACTAAAACTTAAAAATATATATACTTAGAAAAGGAAACCTATTTGCAACCAAATCTGTCTCATTGCTACAGCAGAAGTGTCCCCCCCTACTGTAACATCAGAGGGAACATATTTAATATTGTTCTTGATTCTCAAATTCAGTCCGTGTGTACTGCTTGATTCGATGCTGTTCCATGTATTTCCTACTGTGACCAGAATCCTAGGCTACTCTCTGTGAGGGCTTGAATGAATATCAAACTGTCCGGGGGCCAGAATGTTGAGTAACTTTAAGACTTAGGTTGCCAGAGTGAGATTCTTGGCTCTCCCATTTACTAACTGTGCCATCTTCAGGAGGCTCTGCATCTTCAGTAGCCTCCTCTGTAAAATGAGAATAAAAACAACACTTAGTTCATTAGTGGGATTCAATGGATTACTAGAATTAATGCAAAAAAGAGTAACTACAAGAGTGCCTGGATTTAGAAAGATCTCAGTAAATGTGATTGATATAATAAATTCTTTTTAATGAATACAATACACAGCTGTGGCTACTCTTTTGAGCACAGGGAGAGATGGTGGAGAGAGAAAGCATGGAGATCAGTTAGTAATAATACAGATAAAAAATACCCGTAGCTTTGATGAAGGTAGTGGGGATGGAGCTAGTGAGAAGTGTTCAAATTCTGGGTATGTCTTAGAGGAAAACAGGGAATAAGAAATTGGGGCATTAAAAAAAAAAGAGAGCAGTCAAGAATGAATCCAAAATAGATGATGAGGATTAAGGAGTACACTTGCAGCCATGAGCACTGGGCGATTGATGGGGTTGTTGAATTACTATATTGTACACCTGAAACTAATGTACCATTGTATATTAACTATAATGGAATTAAAATAAATAAATATAAAAATCTTTAACAAATAATAAAGTGGGTTAGATTAAAAAATAATTAATCAAAGATTTTTGCCCCTGAATGGTGAATGTTTCCTTTTACAGAGATAGGGAAAACTCTGGTCAAAGTAATTTTGAGTGAGAAAATCAAGTTAATGTAGAGCCAGTACAAACTGTCCAATAGATACTTAAGTACAAAAATCTGAAATTCAGGTGACAGATTTAGCTAGAGATATACATTTGTTGTATACAACTATTATCATACAATAGTTGAAGTTCATTAGGTAGTAGGTCTCGATTTCAGTCACATATGTGACACAAGTGGAAGATTTTAAATAATATTGAAGACTAACAGAATCAGAATCTTTGGAGGTGATGGCTGGGAAACTGTATTTTTAAAACTGTTTATAAAAGTGTTCCAATTTATATGGAAGTCACAGGCTCAAGGAGTGAGTGTTTTTGGGAAAAAAAGGAGGCATGAATACAGTCATCAATCACTCTAATGTTCAAAGGTCAGAGAAATGAGGAGGGACCTGCAAAAGACAGTGAAAAGAAGCAGCCAGTAAAATGGGAATGGAAACAAGAGAATGGTAAATGCAAAGAAATGCCATGTTTTAACTAGGGAGTGACTAACTGTGGACTGTGGGGTAAAATAAGAATTGATAACTGGCCATTGGATACGAGCACATGGATGACCATAAAATAAATTAATTAACTTGACTTTGATGAAAGATATTTCAGCAAAATAATGAAGATAAAAACCTGACAGAGGTGAGGTCAAAAGAAAAATAGAAGTGTAGTGTATAATAACTCTTTAGAATAGTGCTACTATTTTGGATAGTAATGAGGGTAAAAAAAAAAAAGGAGGGAAATAAAGTTGTGGGTAGAAGGAGATGTGGGAACAAGTCAAGGTTGTTCAAGGAAAAACTAGGGAAAGAGGAATATGCTGATAAAGAAGGGGATAGTTGTAAGAGATGTGTCCACAAGTAGCTAAAAGGGATCTAATATATGAGTGCATAACATAGCATTAGATGTAGCATGGGGTTCCTGCTCATAAGAAGACAGAGTACATGGATATAAGATAAAGTAGTTTTATGGATGTGATGGTGAGAGCTCGTGGTAGTTCTCTGTAGATAGATTCTGTTTTGATCAATGAAACAGAAAGCAAATTCCTGGGGCACCTAGGTGGCTCTGTCAGTCTGACTCTTGATTTCAGCTCAGGTAATGATCTCACAGTCAGAGATCCAGCCCTGCATCAGGTTGGGAATGGAATCTGCTTAAGATTCTCTTTCCCTCTCCCTCTGCCCTTCCCCCACTTCACATGCACAGCATGTTTTCTCTGTGTCTAAAAAAATAAATAAATAATTTTTTTAAGAAAGCAAGTTCCTGAGCTGAGGATAAATTGGGGGAGCAGGTATTAGAGGTTTGAGGAGAAAGAAGATTTGACATGGACGTCTAGGAGAGTCAATAGATTAGCAAAATACTAGAAGCCATAGTAAGTGCTCATTTGAAAGCAGTGATAAAGTCCTAGGTGAGACCAGTCTGTATGATTATGTGTTCTTCTTCTGATGCATCTAGCAGTGGGACAGCAGTTTGGAAGAGATGGAGAACTGGATTTAACCATGGTTACAGTTTTCCAGGAAAGTGTAATAGAAGGGGAAGAAGGAACAAGGAAATTGAGGGCATATACAAGGGGACAGTTACAGTGATGGGTTATGGAGTCTGAGGTAGGGAAGGAAGAAACATAGAATCTTTAAAATGATCAGGATGAGGAACAACGTAAAGAATTATTGGGAGTTGGGGTGATGGAAGGAGTGACCCTGAAAAAAAGAGGGTTGTTGAAATTGAGAGGATGGAGGGAGCACAGAGATAAGAAAATTACTGAACGTAAACATCAAAGCACGCTACCGAACTGTGTGGTGGGAGTCACTGTCACTTACAGTACTGGCATCTGTCTCCAGTGTGCTCAGGCTCGCAGTGGCAGGATGGCTGGTTGCCGGCAGTCACGCTGCAGGCTCCGCCATTTTGACAGAAATCCTCACAGACGGTCTTACCACAGTTTGGTCCAGTGAACCCCAGGGCACAGCTGCAGGTGGGTCTCCCTGTTGGAAATGAAAACAACAAAAAGGAACTTTGACTCAAATGTTTTTCATGGAATCCTTAGTAGGTAAGAAGCAGGAAGCCAAGATTCTGATCAAGGTTTTTTCTCTACTTAATCCGTGAATTTAGGCAGTGGGTGTCAGTGTTCCCATGTGCCAGCGGAGCCTGGATTAGAAGATAACTCAGGTTCCCATCAGGTAAAACGACCAGAGTGCATTTCATGAATAATTACACATTTATACAGGTGTAGTATGTTCTGAAATATTTGTTATTCTTTATACTTTTCATGTCTTTATTTTTGTTCAACTCATATAGTAATGTAGTTTGTATTAGCTATTAGAATGTAAAACAGACACAATCGTATTTCTCAGTATTCAGTCATCATGTACAGCTACTGCTAATGCATGAGCTTAGATTTATAAATAAATATTTTTAAAAGTTTAAAGTGGGTGTGCCTTCTATAATATTTATGTAATTAGTTATTTCAGTTTATGTCAATCTACATACTGTATTTAGTATATAAGCACTTAATAAGTCCTGTTTTATTTCATTTTTGATATTGTTATTCATGGGAAAGGACTATCACTTGTAGTCTAGAAAGACAATTTAAAGTCTAACATTAACAGCACACAAGAGCAAATCTAATGGACCATCTATGGATATCTTTCTTTATTTTCTCTGTATGGACGAACATCAGAAGGAAAGGCGAACAATCCTTTAAGATGTTTGGAACATAACACAGTTAACTTATATCAGGAATGAGTCTCTCTGACTGCCTGGAATGTCAAGGACGGAGTGGAAAATGGAGGACAGAACTAGCTCTGTAGGACAGATTAAGGAAAACAAAATGAAATAATGGCTATCATTTGTAAGGGGCAAAGAATGAAGTTTAAATGTGCAAATGTAAAGAAATAACATGAAAAGAAATAAAAAAGAAATTCAAGTATAGATCTGAATTAACTAGGACTCAGAAATGTCACTCAGTTAACTAGTATCAGGGAAGATTCAACCATCTCCTCTCTCACCTTTGTAGACATGAAGCATAATTACAATGGTCGTAAAAATGTATGAGTATAAGGCTTAAGACTTGAAGTGTGAAAATGATATAAGTTTTCTCTATTGCCATAGATTCTATATTCTATAATTTCTTGAAAAGCATTTGTAAGTAAATAAAATGTCTCTAAATAAGATGCACCCTTCCTTCCAAAAGAATAAATAAATCAAGGTTCCCAAATTATTTATTTTGCTTTGAAAGTGCTCCATACATTTAAACATGCTTGAAACTACTGCTCCTCAGTGAAGAAAGTTACATACATTTTTATGGTGAGTAGCACTGCTTTAAAACTTATTTATAAATGTTATTAGTTTGGTGGCATGTAAACGCCTATTAACAGATTGAGAAACAAGGTAAATTTTATGTACATTAAAAGCTGAATAGCATCATGTTTCCTATTCTCAAAAAAGGCTTTAAAACTTTTAGCTAAATATTTTTCTTATAATGGTAGTGAATTTTCTAGTTGTTGCTTACACAAGACAAAATATCTTCATGGAACAGTAATCGGTGAAAAACAGACACAACAAGAGAATGAATAGTGCTTGTAGATGAAGAGGACACAGGATTGTTGGAACACAGCTACTAAGGAAAATGAAAGCCCTGAACAAAAGAAGTAATTCCTCTTCATCAACAAGAACCAGTAAATGCCTTACAGAGAAACAGAACATATAAATAGGAACACAAATTAACATGAGCTAAAGGTGAAATGAATAGTACAGAAAATAATCAGAACGCATTAGAACAATCAGAAAAAGGGTCCTATGATGGTAGGACTTAAACACCCTAGATTTATGTTTTTCTAGTTTTTTTTTTTTTTAAGAGTGAAAAACATTAAAATAATAGAAGTTTGAAAGAAACAAATGCAACCCGCTATGGCACTTGAAAACTGCTCTATCCCAGTCACTGAGAGAATAACATCATGCTTTCATCTCATCTAGGGCAAAGTGACCAGGTTCCCTCATCCTCCTTCCCCAGCATATGTCTCAAATCGCTAGACTATGGCTGAATTATTTTGAAAAGGCTCTTCTTTCTCTTTCTTTAAAAAGAAGATTTCTTTTTGACCAGAGAAATCTTCATATTCAGGAAGGAGAACATCACCAACTTGAAACTGTGTGTTTATACAGCAGATCTTTTGTTTGCTGATGGGAAAAGAACTTTCTGTCACAGAATTTTATAATAGGCTCTATCTAATATCTTCATGAATCTCTCTGGATCCACCCTAACAAGTTGCATTGGATTCATTTATAAAGATTTTTTAGGTAGCTCAATTTGATTTTGCCATTTGAAAAGGCAACAGTACTGTTTCAATGGCTAAGGTATAGATTTACAGCAGTGATGCATCAGGGAGCTTGGGAGTTGACAGCCTACAAGGGTAGTGTAATCAGAAAAAGCATCAATTAACCTGAGGAAGGAAGGGGAGGTTCAGTTTGTTGGCTCTACTCCATCTGGTTTCTATAGCATTCAGGGCCGAAAAGTGTGGGTTGTCAGACTGCCTGGATATAGAGTATCTGTGCCAATTATTGGTTGTGGGACCATGGGCATCATTTCTCTTCTTATTTCTTCTATGCAAAAAATGGGGATAACAATAAAATAGTACCTTTCTCATGGGGTTGTCATGTCGAACCTGAGAAAATGAATGAGATTATACATGCAAAGCATTTCCAAAAGTACTAGCATACAGAAAGTACTCAGTGACACTTAATCTCCAATTGTTTATTGTTGTTGTTTCTGAGAGTCACCATATAGAAGTATGACTTTGGAATTGTGTCCGAAAAAAACACTGTAACATTCTAAGGAAATCATTTGAAAAACTGTCTTAAGTTATAAATTTTATCTCCATTATTTACTTAAGACAAAATTAAATTTGAATTTGTATGGCAGCGATGGGATAAAGCAGAAATTCTCCATCAACCTCACTCTCAGACTCCAATAGTTTCAAACTTTGAAGTATGGGTCTTTCTCGCTTTACTTTTTCAGCATGCTTAATCTTACCATTTAAGGAGAAAGAAAATGCACACATACACACACACACACACACACTCCATATGACAAACACAAATAATGTACATCTAGTATTTTTATCAAGTCCATTTACTTACATAACTTCAAATTTTGATATATACTTGAATTTTTAAAAAGAGAGCCTATACTCACAGCTTTCAATTCTACCAAATATATGACAAAAATCTTCAATCATAAAGTCACATTCTAATCTTTCATTGGGTTTACAGTTTAAATTTTTTTAATATACAAAATAAAGTATCTTAAGTTATTACTTCTCTTCATTATTTCAGAAGAGAAGCCAGATCTTTCAATATGTATGTATTGGTCACATAAATCAATTCTGATTCCCTAGTGGTAAGAAAGGTTTAGGAATTGAGAAGTTAATGTGTGGTGTTGTCTTTACTTTGTATTTATATACTCTTGCAAAGCTTATCTCTGATCTTTTAATCACTAAATCCACTGATTTCTTCTTAATCATCCTCCTTCTCAAATGTGCTCAATAATTTTACACATTTTATTCTTGAAATTTATTTTTTATTACACATCTACTCTTAAAAATTCTATCTCTATTTGGTTTCTAAAATAATGCCATTGTTGATTTCCCCTTTTTTTCTGACTGTCCTTTTTTTTTTTATGTTTTATTTATTTTTGAGAGAGAGAGAGAGAGACAGCATGAGCAGAAGAGGGACAGAAAGAAACGGAGACACAGACTCCAAAGACAGTCTCCAGGATTTGAGTTAGCTGTCAGCACAGAGCCCGATGTGGGGCTTGAACCCACAAACTGTGAGATCATGACCTGGGCTGAACCCCGGACGCCTGACTGACTGAGCCACCTAGGCACCCCACCGACTGTTCTTTTCAATTGCTTTTATGTTTTCTCATTCTGTCTCTTAAAATATGCTCTTCCAAACTTCTTTTTGGTGATACAATACAACTTGATGGTTTCAATATTTGTCTCTCTGTCTGAATGCACCAGGCTCATTTTTCTGACTCTAGGCTCATTCCCCTTCCTAAATTAAAGACTTTCATTCTCTTTGTTGTTATGTCTCAAGCATGTCTCAGGCTGCTCAGTAGGACCCACAGGAGAGAAAATTCTTCTCACAAACATTATTCTGATAACATACATGATTTCTGTAGACTAGGTTCTGCAGTGTTAGGTCTGCTTCGTATACGAGGTCAACATATGCTAACATATGTTAGCAAAGTGCCTTACTAGATGTATACACTAAATGGAGCTTAGTTTATTTGCTCCATTAATTTATTATTAATTTATCTGCTATTCATAGATAAATGGGAACTGATGGCATATATCTTATAAAATGTTCCAGCAAATTTCTATGCAACAAGGTAAATACATAAACTGTTCAAATTTAACTGGATAACCAATAGTAGCTAATGTTAAATACAGTGAAAATATAACAAAAGGCACTAAATATCTATAGTCAATAATACATACTATTAAGAAATATTCATGGACACAACTAAAGATTATATTGCTCGTAAGAAAAATGGAAATGTCTTAGACTTTAACTGAATTCTTTAAATTTCATTGGTCTTACAAGGCCCCTCTATACTGAAACTAGTCTCAGTAAAAATTATTGATTTGGAAATAGTTTGTAAGAATAATTTAACAGGAACTAAATAAATTTGGTACAAAGTTAAATTATTTGTTAGTTTGTTTTTTGGTATTAGGCAGACTTGGGAATTGAATCCTATTAGATATTTACTCATTGTGTGTTTTGTAAAACTTATGATTTCCTCACTAGACCTCATTTTGAATCTCATTCTGTAAACTGGTGATAGTAATGCCTACTATGTGCTCGTAAACCACATGGCATAATGGCTGCCACATAGCAAGTACTCAATTATTGGCAGTAGTAGTAGTGGTGGTGGCATTATTATTATTGTTAAAATAATATTAATTATTAATATATTATCATTACT